ATTTTGCTCCAAAAGAGCTTGAAGAGCTTCTTGATCAAAATTGGACACACGGCCTCGACCACTCTTGTCATCTAATGAAAAATTTCCCTCGCGAAATTTCTCAAACCAACGCTGGCATTTTCTGGCGCTAACTGCATCTTGACCAAGAGCACTACAGATGTTTTTTGCAGCCTCACTTGCTTTTCTTCCTAATTGGAACTCGTAAAGCATGCAGTGCCGAATATGCTTTTCATCCGCCATCTTCTTAGCCCTAGTTTTGCAACAAAAACCAAACCAAACACAAACTTTTTCAAGCAAAACTTGTTAATTGCACTTCACACGTTCTGTAGATACCACGTGTTTGAAGGTTATGTCAATACAAGTCAATGCCAAGCAAGATTTTAAACGAATGTTTAAAAACGACATTAATTATTACTAGACCGATATTTCAGACAATGTATTCTTTATTTCTTGTTGATCCCTTATCATTTCTTGTTGATCCCTTATCATTTCTTGTTGATCCCTTATCATTTCTTGTTGATTCCTTATTAATTCTAGTTGATCTCTTTTCATATCTTCATAGGTCTTATCGATCTTTTCTAGGAAATTCTTGAAAAACCTTATAAGCGTAGATTTGAACTCTATATCCAGTCGCTTTTTGTCCTCCATTTGTTCCAGCCAGGCACTCAGCCTCCCCCCTTTCCGGCTCCATCCTCTCCGCGCGTCGCTGTCTCTGTACCTCAGGCTTTTACAGCTCCTCCGCGCTTCCTTCTGGTTTTCTCCTTGCTTCTCGTTGCAGAATTTCCAGTCAGTCGACTTTCCTGTAGTTCTGGGTAATGTCCATTTTATATTTTAATTGTATTTTATTGAAATTGTTGTGTGCGGCTGTGGCTAGGTGTTTACCTGGGCAGCCATCTTGAATTCTCCAGGCTTTTACTCTTGTCTCTATTTGGAACTCGGGAGGCACCCAATCAATGTTTCTCTCTCCCTTTCCCTTCCACTCAGGAGAGTACAGTGATTAGATATTAATTTAGAATAATTGCTAAAACACATATCTAATTATTCTAAAACACATATCTAGTCACTTCTCCCCTCCTTACAATTACTGAATTTCCAATTACTTTACAGAAAAGCCCAAGTCTTAAACATGGCTTACAAGGACTCTCATGAACTCGACTGCTTATTCTACCCATAACACTTGCTATTCTGTAACATCCCCCTCTTCTAACTTTGTGATATCCATTCTGAACATTATTATTGTTATTATTATTGTTGTTAATCCTTACATGAGGATATTTTCCCATTGATTTTTAGAAGAAGTGGAAGGGAGAGGGAGAGACACACAGAGAGAAACATTGATGTGAGAAAGGCACATGGATTGGTTACCTATCACATGCTCCCTGACCAGAGCTGGGGATCGAGCCTGCAACCAAGGTATGTGTTCTTGACCAGAACTGAAACTTAGACTGTTCAGTCCATGGACCAATGCTCTATCCACTGAGTCAAACTGGTTAGAGCTGAACATTTTTTTTAAAACTGAAAAGGTAGCATGTTTTCTTGCTTACTCTTCCTTTCACACTTTTCTGCTATTCTCTCATCCATTAGACCTTAGCTTAGATATTCTTCATTTGGGAAACTTTCTGTACCCTCAAAGGTAGGTTAGGAGTCTCCATTCTGTATATCTATAGCACTTTACACATACATTATTATAAATGTTTATAAAATTTTCTTATTAAATCAACTGTCTCTCTACTCAAAGTCTGGGATACTTTTTTTCTTATTCATTGTTATCCTATCTAATAAAAGATCAATATGCAAATTAACCACTCTGCTACACCAGCAGCCACACCCACCAGCCAATCAGGAGCAAGTATGCAAATTAACCCAGCCAAGATGGCTGCAACCACAGAGAGAGTAGAAAGGAGACTTGGGTTTCCTTGGCAATGGAGGAAGCCAAGCTTTCCACATACCCTGGCCCTCCCAGGCTTCCACTTGAGGCTACAAAGTTTCAATTATAGAAGGTACATGAATCCTAACAAAAATGGTGGCAGCCACGGAGCTGGAGAGAGCAGGATGCTAGGATTGCCCCTGGCGATGGAGGAAGCCAACCTTCCGCAGCCCTGGCCTGCTTTGGCCTCTGCTTAAGGCTACAAAGTTTCAATTATAGAACATAAATCCCAACAGAAATGGCTGCTGCCACGGCACAAGCAGAAGGCTTGGCTCCGCTCCAGGCTACAAAGTTTCAATTGCAGGAGATAAATAAATCCCAGATTCCAGGGCCTATCTAATAAAGGAGTAATATGCATATTTACCAATACTTCAACATACAAGATGGCTGCCCCCATGTGATCAAAGATCCTACCCATGTGTGGATACAGGATGGCCAGCAGAAGAGGACAGTTGGGAGGGATCAGGCCTGCAAGGGAGGGCAGTTGGGGGTGATCAAGCCTGCAGGGGAGGACAGTTGGGGGTGACCAGGCTGGCAGAGGAAGGAAGTTGGGGGCAAGCAGGCTAGCAGGGGAGCAGTTAGACATCAATCAGGCTGACAGGGGAGTGGTTAGGGGGTGATCAGGCTGGCAGGCAGAAGTGGTTAGGGGCAATCACGCAGGTGAGTAGTTGGGAGCAGCAGTCCTGGATTGTGAGAGGGATGTCCCAGATTGGAGAGGGTGCAGGCTGGGCTGAGGGACACCCCCATCCCCCACGCACGAATTTCATGCACCAGGCCTCTAGTATTATCATATAATACTGTGTTGGCAGCTGGGAGGTTTTCAATAAACATTTACTGGAAGGTTTCCAATAGTGCTGAAAGGATTTCCATACTCCAGAACTAACCTGCAGTTTGCTTTCATTATATTCCTATATCAAGGACTTTCCTGAGGTACTATTTATTTATTTATTTATTTATTTTTTTAGTCCTCTATATAATTTTATTTTTTTCTCTTAGTTTTTAAATTAAATTATTGTCTGTGTACATATCTTACCTTCCCCCCCCTCCCCCCATACATACCCTTCCTCCCCAGAGTTTTGTGTCCATTGGTCTGAGGTACTATTTTAGTACAATTTTCTAATTAACAACTTAGGTCTTCTTTAACCTTCCCATATCCAATTCCTAGCTAAGAATAACAATTAAGCAAAAGAATAGTAATCATTATGAAATGTAAGTTCAATTGTTTTTTTATTCCTAAAATCTTACCACACAAAATTCTACATTGAGTTAAAACTCAGTAGTAATGAACTTCCTGGTTCATCATTATAAAACTATTTGCATGGTAAATCTGATTGATGTTAAGCGTATTTTACACTTGATCAGAAGATGCCTTAATTATTGAAATATCTAATTTCATTATTCACCACTAATAGAGCCCTGAATGCATAAACCCCCATGGAAATCATCCCATCAATTGTCTGCTTTAAGAGCCCAGCTGTACTAATCATCAAGGCACATGGAAAAACACTTGATACTGAAATGGTAGCAATAACTATCAATCTAGAAAAAAATAAACTATGGTTAAAATTTCAGATATATATTAAGACATTCACTCCTGTCTTATAGATCACTCTAATCCTGGCTTTTGCCTACCCCTTTTAGAGGACAGGTTCTCAAACTCTGGGAACTGTCCTCATCTATAAGGTAGAGAAGGCTCACTTTTCAGGCTTTATGCTGGTCACACTTAGCTTAGGCTAGGTTCTAGCAAATGCAAACACCAAAGGGAGAAGTCATCAAAAAGAGTTTTAATATCTTCTTTCAGTCCTCAAGGAGAGCTATGCAACTTCCATTAACCCAGTGGTTCTCAACCTTTCGAATGCCATGACCCTTTAGTACAGTTCCTCATGTTGTGGTGACCCCAACCATAAAATTATTCTTGTTGCTACTTCATAACTATAATTTTGCTACTGTTAATGAATTGTAATGTAAATATCTGTTTTCCGATGGTCTTAGGCTCTACAGCAGCGATTCTCAACCTGTGGGGTTGCAGCCCACAGGTTGAAAACTGCTAGCAGGATTGCCTAAGATCATCAGAAAACAGATATTTACAATACGATTAATTAATACACGAGGAACTGTATTAAAGGGTCACAGCATTAGAAAGATTGAGAACCACTGCATTAGCTTATACCTTAAAAAAATGTATGCAAGTATGTCAAGATGTTTGCAGAAAGACTCTGTTTAGGCCTATACATAATAGATTTTAAAACAGCAACACCTAAATGTCTATTATTAGAGAGATGGTTAATTATATGGAATTTATACTATTCTTACTGATTATGCAATCGTTATAAAAATAAAACTAGGAAGAGTGACATAAAAAGATGTCTTTAAAGCAAAGAACAAGACTCCATTTTTAGTTTAAGAAAAAAAAGATGTGAGAAATAATGAAGATAAAAGAGGGGGAAAGCGAAAATGAAAGAAGAAAAACAGGTATAAGCATATATGTTTATAAATATATACAGAAAGAATTTGGAAGACTATACAAAAGTTGATTAATATTAATTTTCTTCTAGTCTGGAATTTTCAATTTTTAACTTGATATACATTTTGTACCATTTAAATTTTCTTTTTAATAATGAGCATATACTGCTTTTTTTTAAACTCAAAAGAAAGTATAATGACTCAAGTAAAACTCGTTAGTTTAAATTCAAGTTTTTTAAAGAATAGAATGATTTTTAACTGAGGTAAACTATCAATCCCCAAATTATTCAGTCATATTTCCTAAATAAATATTCATTCACAGAACATAAACATTTAAATATATAAATATACAGTGAACATACATATGTTTCTTTATTGATTTCAGAGAGAAAGGGAGAGGTAGAAACATCAATGATGAGAGAGAATCATTGATTGGCTGCCTCCTGCACGCCCCCTACTGGGGATTGAGCCCGAGACAGGGGAATGTGCCTTTGGCCTGAATGAAACTCGAGACCCTTCAGTTCGCAGGCCAACGCTCTACCAATGAGACAAACCAGTTAGGGCAACAAAAACATTTTTGACATTTCAAAAAAAATGTAAAGGTACATACAAAGTTGTGTGTTGTAAGTGGAACATTTTCCAATACTTCAACATGTAATTCCTCTCCAGTAAGCCAGGAAATATCAGTGTCCCATCCAATTGGTTTCTTCTCTCTGAAAAGTGTAGACACAAGCCTTTCTTGGTAATCATACCTAAAAATCTTCATATACCTCATGCTGAAGATATGAAAATTGGTTAGTGAGTGGCTAATAATAGTGAGGGAGTTTTATCTCTTGGTCTTTTATGTTAGAAATTTAGATGGCAATAAATTAATTTTTAAGTTTACACCAAATAAATGTATCACTCTTGGACAAACAGCAAGGTAAAGAGATGTACTCTTTTCTTAAAGTTAGCTCCAGAAAAGATCCACAACAGCAGAAAATGATTGTTCCTGGAATTAAAAAAATAAAATAATCACAGGTACGGATATATCTATCCAAAAAAGAAAAAGAGTACTTAAGGGACAACATGCCCTAAAAAGGATAATTTTTAAAACAGGATTCAAAACTAGGAAGATGTGTGTGTCTTGGCATAATTTTAGATGGTTTGAAAAACAGTTCAATATAAGATGTTAATTTGATAAGTCTTTTGTGAAACTATGAATTTGTATTAAAAATAGGGGCGTGCAGTTGAGTCCACTATTCAAAAGGGTCACATTATAAATGGTTAGAAAAATTTAAGAATCACGTATTTCAAATAAAGCCATTTAATCAGAGTAACACATTACTGTCACATACAAAATTATCTAATGTTAATGCCTCAAAAGGCCCACAAGATTTCTTTAGGCTAAACTTAATAATAATGTAATATTGTTTTCTAAAGTTGATTTTCAATTCCCTTGGTTTAGGTAAAGATCACAACAAAGTTTCACATCACAAACAAACCATACCCATCCTGAATTCTGTAAACAGCACAGCACTCTGGGATTAGACCTCTCATCATCAATGCTTTCTTTAGACTGTCCCGGACTGTAACTCCACACCTTGCAGGTACCTAGAATATCATAATTACATGATATGAGGTAAAAGAAATAAATTATGTTTATCACAATAAAAAATAACTTACCTATATCACATACAACATAATTTCTACAGCTAACTTACTATTAAAGGGAAATTATGACAGATATCTATTATTATTCACCAACTTAAAATGAATTTTAGTTCATTAAAATTATAAAATATTTTAAACATGAGAATAGAAAATATAACAGATCCCTATGTACCCACCACTAAATAACAATAATGTCAACATTTAAAGCAAAATCAATTTTGATCCAACATTGTTTAAAACTAAAAACTGTGCAATCATTCAATCACACTGATGGTCCTTAAGAGATGTATTACTGATCTTAAACACAGAAGGGGGAAAAATACTTGTCTTATGTCTATAACTGATACTTGTTTAGTTGACTAGCACTCCTGTTTCCTGAGGGAACCTCCCTTTCCTAAAAATCCCAGGAGAGGCTCTCAATCAAGGGTCACTACTTTTCTAGCTACACATGACATAAGCTGGCTAATCAGTGTCCTGTAACCCTGACAATAGCAATTGATCCGAAAATAGATATATGACCCAAACTCAATCAGAGTTCTTTCCTAACTGATAGATGCAACTGGCTGAGAGAAGTTCCTCTTTTTACTATAGTTAGAGTGCCAAGCAGATAGAAATCTGGAGCCCCCAATGGCCATCTTTCCCACTGCATTGAGAAAATCTGGACACAGAATGAAGCTAACCTGGGGAGAAGTAAAAAAAGACACTGGGGTGGAGAAGGAAGGACCAGTGGAAAGAGATAAAAGAGTTTATATACTTGAATTCATCCCTATTTTGGCCTTTTCTTCTTCAAGCTCCCTTCCCCAGTGAATCTAAATAATATGCAACTGAAAGAGAACTGAAAAACACTATGAGAACTAAAGTGGTGCAGCAGGAGTTCAGGTTTTATTGATAAGGGTGGTGAGGTGGAGGGGAGTGCAGGTAGAGAGGATGTGTTAGTTAATAACAATAAAATTAAATGTTCCATTTTTTAAAATCACGTAATTCTTAGCAAACCAAAGGTTTCTAAAGAAAAAGAATTTTCATGCTACAGGGACAAAATGGAGTAAGAGTAGATATAAGACAGCTGAATTTAAATAGTATATCAAAGGGAGAATAATTCAGGGAGCCAAATTAGGATCTATAATTAGAATAAATTATGATGCCAAATTTGGAACAACATTAAAGTCACCCAGCAAGGAAAAAGTTTTTTATGAAGGAGTAGGCTCATCACTGGAAGTGTGGATGAGATGAGATTGGTATAGTTGATCCTCTTTATTCATTCATTCTGCGCTTGTGATTTGTCTACCTGCTCAAATTTGTAACCCCCAAATCAATACTTTAGTGCTTTTGCAAACATGTGTAGAGCAGCGCTCAACATGTACCTTCCCAGCTAAGGCTGAAAAAGGTGACACTGTGCCTTCTTGTTCTAGCTCTTACATTGTAAACAAGTATCCTAAGCCAGCGGGCTTTTATGCTAATGGACACCAGCAAACTGAAAAACAAAACAAAACACAACACAACCACAAACCACCTAAGGGTCAGTATGCAGAGGCCATCTTTGGTTCATTTATATAACAGCAACCTTGTATTTGCCCTAGAACTAAATGGGTCAGTATTCACTAATTGCCTGCATCAATTTTACAGAACATAAATATTGTTGATTAGCCATACCTTCTAGAAATAATGAACTGAAGGGAAAAGCTCACTTTTCCCTTCAGTTCATTACTCTACTACTCATATTCTGTTTACTCTAATGCAAATACTTGATTGGCAACCCTAATTTAGTTTTAAAAGGTATTCTTAACTTTTGTGTGTGTCAGACTTCTGAGAATCGGATAAAAGACTCCCATGCTCACTCTGACATGAAATTTTGGGGAGTGGGGATTCATGTAACCTGACGCCCATGTAGGGTTTGCTGAGAAGCCCATTGAATTCAGGTTTATAACCCACCCCCCAATATAATCTACACTAAGAAAAGAAAATTTTTAAATTGATCATACCTCCAAAACACCCACCAGCCCATCAGGAATGAGTATGCAAATTAACCCAACAAAGACGGTGGGTTAATTTGCATATGCTATGAGGGGGCTGGGTGGGGGATGTAGGAAGCTACAGGAGTGGTGCTCCAGCCAGGAGCGAAGACTTGCAGGCTCCCAGGTGGCTGGGAGTAAGAACTTGCAAGCTCCTGGGCGGCCGGAAGGAAGCAGGGGGAAGGAAGGCCTATTCTTGCATGAATCTTCATGCAAGGAGCCTCTAATCTTACATAATCTTACATTTCATTAGTCTGCTGACGATTGTTCCACTATTTATAAGTCAAAATTAAAATTCTGTATGGCACCTAAAGCATTCAATGAACTGGGGCTACCTACCCCTCAGGTCCTTTGGTAATTTCCCTCATACACTTCTGTAATGCCACTTTCAAATACAGCTATGCTCCCTTATGTTTCTCTTGCACAGGTTGATTTCAAGGTGTATGTATATTTCCTCAGCAGGAAAAAAATTGGTTTTCTATTTTATCACCAAAACAAAGTTATCACTCCCTCCTTTATTCCATTTCTGTAGGCTGATTTTTTTGTACTCCTTGCTCCTTTCATTTTCATATAGACCAGTGTAAAAGACCAAAACAGATTCCAACACATCAAGGAAATTATAATAAAATAAAGGCAACATCTGAAATAAAGTAAAGATGAACTTTTAAAAAATATATTTTTAATTTATTTCAGAGAGAGAGGGAGGGAGGGAGGGAGGGAGGGAAGGAGAAAGAGAGAGAGAGAGGGGGGGGGGAGAGAGAGAGACATGGAAACATCAATGATGTTTGGGACTATTTTAAATAAAGCAACTAAGAAAATTTTTGTACAAATCTTTGTATTAACATATGTTTTCTTTTCTCTTGGATAAATTGAAGTAAATGGCTGGATCATAAGCTACATGAATGTTTAATTTTTTACAAAATTGCAAAAACACCTATGTTCATAGCAGCACAATTTATAATAGTTAGGATTTGGAAACAGCCTAGGTGCCTGTTAGCAGATGATTGGATAAAAAAACTATGGTACATCTACACTATGGAATACTATGCTGCCATAAAAAAGAAGGAAATCTTATCATTTGCAGCAACCTGGATGGAACTGGAGAACATGCAGAGTGAAATAAGCCAGTCAATGAAAGAAAAACACCACAGAATGAAAGGGTCCCAGGTTTGATTCCGGTCAAGAGCACATGCCTGGGTTGCAGGCTTGATCCTCAGTTGGTGGTATGCAGGAGGCAGCCAATCCATGATTCCCTCATCACGTTTCTCTCTGAAATAAATAAATGACTTCTTGTATCCTCACATGGCAGAGCCGTTCAGGGAGGCAAACTATTTCTATTATCATGAAGGTCTCACCCTCATTAGAAAGGCCTCCTTATTACTCATTTATGGATAATAAGGAACATTATAAACTGATGAGCAAATGATAGATTTAGAGACAGTAAAGCAACAGATTGTCAAATTACAGTAGAGAGGGTAAGGAGATATGGGGGAGATAAGAGATCAACCGAAGGACTTGTATGCATGCATATAAGCATAACCAATGGACGCAAAACTCTGGAGAAGGAGGGTATGTATGTAAGGGGGGGGAATTGGTAAGATATGTACACATATAATACCTTAATAAAAAAGTGAAAGAAAACACAAAATTACAAAAAGTTTTTTTAATTATGGAAAAATATATGTAATATAAAACCATCTTAACCATTTTTAAACATCTTGTGTCCACTTGGGGGCAGGATCTTTAACCACATGGGGGCAGCCATATTGTGTGTTGGAGTGATGGCCAATCTGCATATTGCTCTTTTATTATTTAGAATAGAGGCCTGGTGCATGGATGGGGGCCAGCTGGTTTGCCCTGAAAGGTGTCCCAAAATCAGGATGGGAGTTCCCTTGGGGTGTGGAGTGGGCTGGGTGAGGGGCCTGTGGTTTGCAGGTCGGCCACACCCCCTGGGACCCAAGTGGAGGCCCTGGTATCTGGTCCCAGACCAGGGAGTGGGTTTCCTTGGGGCATGGGGCGGCCTGAGCAAGGGGCCTGTAGTGGTTTGCAAGCCAGCCACGTCCCCCAGCGGCCAAAGTGGAGGCCCTGGTATCTGGGGTTTATTTATCTCCTACAATTGAAACTTTGTAGCCTGGAGTGGAGCCAAATCCCCTGCTCGCTTGGTTGCTGCTGCCATTTCTGTCTGGATTTGTTTACCTTTTATAATTGAAACTTTGTAGCCTTGAGTGGAGACCTAGGCCGGCAAGGGAAGGCGGAAAGCTTGGTTTTCTCCATTGCCGGAGAAACCCAAGACTCTCTCCTGCTCTCTGTGGCAGCAGCCATCTTGGTTGGGGTTAATTGGCATACTTGCTCTGATTGGCTGGTGGGCGTGGCTAGTGGGTGTAATGGAGTGGTGGTTAATTTGCATATTCAGATAGTAGCAATTCCAATGAGTATAAAGTGGTATCTCATTGTGGCTTTGGTTTGCATTTCCTAACAATTAGTAATGTTGAGCATATTTTTGTTTGCTGGCTATTTGTGTAGCTTTTTTGAAGAAATGTCTATTCAATCCTTTATCCATTTTTAAAATGGGGTTGTTTGGTGTTTCTGTTGTTGTTGAGTTGTAGGAGTTTCTTAAAATATATTCTTAATATTAACCCCTTGTCAAGATATATGATTTGAAAATATTTCCCCCTCTTCTGAATTGACTTTCATTCTGTTGAAATTAATTAGAAGGTGGCCTGTGGGGACGGACATGCCCTGGAGCCAACCTCCCGAGGTCCCTCCCTGGCCAGCCACACCTGAGGCAGCTCTGAGGCTTGAAGGTTGTATGTAGAGTGAGCAGGGTTCCTCCAGCAGGTGGGGTCCCTAGGCCTGGCCTGTGGGGATCGAGCTGAAATCGGCTCTCCAACATTCCTTGAGGAGTCCCGAACTGCAAAAGGGCGGATTTCA